CGAAAGTATGCCATGATTTAATTTCGAAAACAAAATAAATGATGCATCAATGTAACAGGTGAAAAGTTGAATTAACCGGAGACCCTGCAGTTGGTCCTGTACGGTTAATTCCATAGCTCAACATCCAATCCAACCGGAGTCACCTCGATGACCTGTACGGCACTACACTGCAGATAAGTCGGAACTACCTGAAGTAGTCTGTACGACATGGATGGTGTAATAATACGCTCTAGTGCTTCTCTCATCAATCATCTGTGCACATAATCTAAGGTCACCCACTAGTCGGAATCACATCCAGTAATCTATACGACTAGCATGTCGGAACCCTCACTTGGTCTGTACGACATCCACCTACTTGGATCCAAGACGAGCATGCGGTGTGGTGAATAATATAAGCACTAACACCATGATTGCAGGTTATGAGCTATCCACAATATACACATCAACAATGCACATGAATAATATAAAACTCACCTGATACTTACTTGTGCGTCCACAACACCAATTCACATATATATATATGCATCATATATCAATTCATGCTTTTCATATACTTCTATGCATGGCATTTCAAATCATACTTTTCATATAAATCTATCCATGGCATTTTAAACCATACTTTCATTTAAATTCAATTTCTGGGAAAACTCAATAGTATATAGGTAATACGAAAACAAAACTGCCCACTCACCTGGAGTTCGCCCTACAACTCCCTAGCACAACACATCAAGGCGTCATGACGATCGCCGCCTAGAACAATAATCAAATCCAACCTCAGAAATCATATCGATAGGATATAACTTATATAAAACACATCACTACGCAGTTTGATTCGAAAGATCTGCAACTCAGATTTTAAATCTATAACTTCTAGAGATCCACAATATATCTCTAGGACAACATCCTGAAATTTCATTACCATCCAACGGTCGGATCTCCGTCAATTTCCAAAACTAAGTGACAGTTAACATTTTATTTTATGAACTTACAACTCCAATTCCGGAAGATTCGTAACTCGGATTCCCAATCCGTAAGTTCCAATAATCCTCAAATATTACGTATTACAACGTATCAAAGTTTGGTGACGATCCAACGGTCGGATCGTCAATTCACATTTTCACCTAAATGCGAAAACTATCAAACGTTATTTAAAGCACCTAACCAATAATCGTAATAACTTTTTCATACGGTGCTCAATTTGGGTATATGAATATACCACAGTGATCTACTCGACGTCACGAACGTCGACATATTTTTAGATTATTTGTTTGATGTGCCACGCGCCCCCACGCGCCAGGACAAGCACGGGGACACGCGCCCCCACGCGCATCATCCCCAACCCTGGGTTCGCCGGACTGGTTTTTCCGGCGGCCGGTTTCCGGCCAAACTTCAAACGCCTTGTTCTCCTTCGTTTCTCAACCATTTTATTCGTATAATATATCAAATTGAAGCCCCAAACATGTAGAATCACAATACACTACTTTAAGGCTCTAAAAACAACTAAATCTCACCGGAAAAATCCAAGCAAAACCGGCCAAAGTCGAACTCGACGATCCCGACGTCCAAACCTTCCAAACGAACGTCCCCGAGCTTCCTTAGGACCTCACTAAGCTCACTATAAGCTTAGAATTCCCTGAAAATCAACATTTCACGTGTGCATGAACAGTACTCAAAAACTGGGGTTCGGGTTTCAGGGGTTTTTCAAAGGTTCTACGTCCTAAAACTAACACCAATCAACTCAGAACTTCAAGAGGGTGAAGATTCTTACCTTATTTGCTTCGATCCACGAAGTTTTGGATGGTTTTGGTTGCCGTCCGTACGATGTGGGTGAGAGAGAGGAAGAATCGTGAGGGAGGAGAGAGAGAGAGTGATACGGGAAGAGGGAGAGAGAACAGGGAGTTTTAGGTGTGTGTGGTCCACTCAAATCCCCACCCTCCAATTCATCTACTTCCTAACCACAAAATTATACAAAACCAAATTTTTTAATTCATCTCATTTGCATTCTTTTTCTCCAATACTTATATGAAGTTAAACCAAATAATGTCACACATACATACCTTAGCACTTACTAGGGGCAATCCCGTCAATTCACATTCCCGTCAAATGAACCTTCGGGATGGGTTGTGACATATACTTTGAATTTGTTGATTAATTTAATGAAACTACTATTCAATGTTTTTATATATAGTCGTTGAATTTAAATTAATTATTGCATCATAAAAGTTGTCCTAAAAAGGGCTGAGAGTGGCCTACACTTGGCCAACCTAATGCGCCTTGAGTCAAATAATGGTTTATTGGGCTCGTAGAATTATAGCCTAGGCTTCCTAGTCATTTATTGAAGATTATTTTTTTGGAATTTCAAACTATTTTTTGAATTTTGGAGCTTTAGCCTCTTTATTGGAGATAATCTTAGCTCAAGCGTCGTAACTGTAACATTCCTTAGCGCCGGTATAATTATTTGCGTCTCTCTATCTCTTTGATCATATATGTTTTTTTTGTTTTTTTGGAAAACTTTGATCATATATGTTAAGTGTAAAAATAAATAAATATATATGAGTAAATTACATAGTAACCCCTCAAGTTTGAGGTCTATTACAACCCCATACAGTATCTTTAAAACATTTCACTTTCATACCTCAAGTACTATTTTATTTCAATATAATACATCTGTTAGATTTTCCATCCATTAATTCGTTAAATGCTGACGTGGTTGCCACATTTGTGCCACGTGGTAAAAAAAAATTTTTTTTTTTTAAACCTGAATTTTCTCAACAAAAAAAATAATAAATAAATTAAAACGCATCCATCTCCCCGCAACCCCCCAACCAAAAACAAATCCAGATCCTTTTTCCCCCCACTCCCCACCCACCCACCCACCCTCTTCCCTCCTATACACACTCCACTCCTTAAATCCACACCCCATTCCTCCCATTTGCACCTCATGAACCCGACGATGGCGGACGGGATCGGGGTTTTGTTTTTTTTTTTTGTTTTTTTGTTTTTTTTTTCTTCTAGGTTGCAGGTAGGGGGTTGGGCGCACCCGCACCCACCCTCTTCAGTCCTCTACACACCCCACTCCTTAAATCCACACCCATTCCTCCCATTTTCACCTCACAAACTCGATGATGGCAGACTGGATCTGGGTTTTGTTTTTTTGTTTTTTTCCTTCTAGGTTGCAAGTAGGGGTTGGGGGAAGAAGATGAAGATTGGGGAGAAGAGAGGGGAGAAGGAGGGGGGAAGACTAACTGAAGGGGTGTTTTTTTTTTTTTCTAGGTTGCGGAGAAGATGAAGATGGGGAAGAAGATGGGTGTGGTGGGGTGTGTAAAGGAGGGAAGAGGGTGGGTGCAAGGGGTGGATGCGCGGGTGCCACGGGCAAGATGAAGATGAGTTTTTTTTTCCTCCTCTTCTTCTTCTGGGTTGCAGGTTGCAGGTTAGGTTTTGGGGGAGGGGTGAAAGGGAGGGAGGGAAGACGAAGTGGGCTTTGGTTTTTGGTTTTTTTTTTTTTTTTTTGATTTTATAATTTATTTAGAAGATTTAGGTTTTTTTTTTTTTTTAAATTTAATTTTTTTTTGCCACATGACACACATTTGGCAGCCAAGTGGCATAAATGTGACAGCCACGTCAGCATTTAACAGATTAATGGATGAAAAATCTAACGGATGTATTATATTAAAATAAAATAGTACTTGAGGTATGAAAGTAAAATGTTTTAAAGATGTTGTATAAGATTATAATATACCTCAATTAAGAAGTCACTATGTAATTTACCCGACAGAATTTAGATCCTCTCGGCATCTTGCAGTCCGGAACCGAGATTCTCTCATTTGACTGACTCGTGAGGGGGTCACTGGGCGCGTTTACGTAAGGGTAATGGGAATCAAGAAACGGAATTGAATTCCGATTACGGCTTACACCGGTGTTTACTAACGTGAGAGGAATAAAAAATCGTGTGGGACCCAGTTGAATTCCGGAATCACACTCCGGAATTTCCCGGAGTCGGATTCTCTAGCAACAAGTGGTAATTGAATTCCTTGTATTGCTGTCCTCCAGGAATCAAACTTTTGTTCCTAAATTACCCTCTCAATTCGTCTTCTGCAAATCCACCCAAATTGGGAGGTCGCATGGGTGGTGGGCGGACATGTGAACATGGGAGGCAGTGGGAGGATCTGTGAATATGGGAGGTTGTGGGGGCTGGGGAAGAAGAGGATATGGAGGATTGGGGAGTGTGGAGGACCTGTGAGTATGATGGGTGGTGGGAAGGGCTGTGCGGGCTGGGAAGGAAGAAGGCAGCAAGGATGAAACGAAGAGGTGTGGGAGACTGGGGGTGCTCTAGAAGTCGAAGAAAAGATGGGGATGAGAGGAAACGGAGAGGCATGGGAGATCGACTAGGGGTGCTCTGGAAGAAGGTGAAGAAAAGATGGGGATGAGAGGAAACGGAGAGGCATATGAGGTCGACTGGGGGTGTTCTGGAATAAGGTGCAGGAAAGATGGGGATAAGAGGATGGGAGGAAGAAAAGTCAAGTTTGTAAAGATAAATTTAATTTTATATAAATAAACTTAATTTTCAATAATTATAGCATAAAAATCATTTATTTTCAACAATGACAATTTAGTATTTACATTACTTGGAACAAGGGCATTTTAGTAATCGTACTGGTTTATATTCCGATTCTGCTGAATTAGTAAACAGCTTTATGAAATTCTATTCCGATTCCAGACAGTTTTAGTAAACAACTTCAACATGAATCCAATTCTGATTCCGCCTCATTTCATTTCCTCCTTAATCCAATTCCTCCCAATTTGATTACGGATTAGTAAACGCGCCATCAATTTATCAAACCAGCAAGATATATGCGGTTCCAAATGCCCGCCAATTATTTAATCTCTTTGATTTCAATTTCATGTTGTTTTCCTAGTGGATGCAGTGTGGTTTCCGTAAGCCGTGACGTGTGCGGTGACTGAGTAGTGTTGTTTTTTTTTGGCTACTCTTTAATTCATAAATAAATAAATATATCGTTGCTACGTATGGAATTTGGAAACTTGCGTTTTGGACGTTGAATATATAATTTTCTCTGCTTAAACCTGTTGCCCATTTTTCTGGGATTTTTGGGTTCTCTTTTTCCTCTGCAACTGAGCTCAAAGGTGACGGCTTTCTTCTCTTCCACTTCTCTTTGTTTATTTGTTGATATAATTAGATTACAAACTTTGAAAATGGAGGTGGGTTTTTGATGCATACAAAAATTGAATCTTTGATTCTGTTTATTATTGTCAACCAGAAGTTAATGGGGTGTGGGCTGCTATACCAGCAAGTGCTTTTGGCTCATACATTAAGTAGCAAGTGCTTTTGGCTTATTTCTATACAAAAATTGAATCTTTGAATCTGCTTATTCATGTTTTGAAATTAGTGTGTTTGTTAATATTGCAGGAAGTGCTTCTGTGTGAGAAATTATTTCCTTGTGAAGTAATTAAGAAATTTGAGATTAAGATTGCATTAAGAAGTATGAGTTTGTACTTGTAGTGTGCCTTCAGTAGTGAACATCTGTTTTGGGGTTGTATACCCCAAATTTCTGAGCCTCGGGTATAGGCAGGAAGTTAATTGTATTGGATTGCGAGCATGCTGCCACAAGCTATGGTTTTTGAGCCAATAGATTGGTATTGCCAACCAGAAGCTAATTGGGTGTGGGCAGCTAAAGCAGCAAGTGCTTTTGGCTCATACACTCCTTGTGCAATTGACTCCCTAGCCATCTCCATTTCTCACTTGGTTCTTATGAGCCTTTGCTGCTACCGGATATGGATGATCAAGATGAGTTCAAAAGCCCGGAGGTTTCGATTGAGGTCGAATTACTACAATTACATTTTGGGTTTGTTGGCTGGTTACTTCACTGCACAGCCCTTACTGAGGTTGCTGATGGGCATGTCATATTTTAACTTGAACACACAATCTGGCTCTGCTCCTTTTGAGGTGGGTTGTTTTTATTTTCTTGTTTTGTGCTACCTTTGATATGTGCCTTATTGATAGGAATCTACAGTAAATTGTAATATGAAATGAAGCTACGCACTTGCAGATGACTTCTGCAGTCATTGAGTCAATTGCTTGGTGCTCCATGCTAATTATGATTGGCTTGGAGACTAAGATATACATAAAGGAATTCCGGTGGTTTGTAAGGTTTGGAGTCATTTATGTCTTGGTGGGAGAAGCTGTGGTGCTAAACCTTATTCTTTCAGTGGCAGATTACTACACCAGGTTATTTTTCCTCCTCTTCACTTACCAGATGCTTTATTTTCAGAGTTGTTTGAAATTCCGCACATGAAGGAGAATATTCGTATATACAATAAGTGTTCATCTTACATCCTAAGAACTTTAACTTTTGGGAATAATGGTTAACTAAACCAATTTCAGAAAATGCCCTTGTATTTAAAGATGAAAGAATATTCGGACATAATTATCATATAAGTTGTTGCTGAGTGGTTTTATTCTTCGTTTTTGTTTCACTCTTGCAGAGGTACTCTGTATCTGTATATAAGCACGGTCTGTTGCCAGGTTTGTCCCAATTTCCCAACTAATTACGTTTTCTTCATTTTATTACTCGTATATAAGTTGTTAGATCAATAAAATGTTTCATCCTTTTTCTTCGTCTTTCATCTCCCCGTCATAATATTAGTCTCCAAATTTAGGCTGACAGCCTTTCTGGCCAAATATTTGATGGTTGATAAGCCTCTGGACAAGCTAGGCCTTTGCTAGACTTTGTTGAGTAATATATATCTCATTAATTTGTCTAAGAATTTAAAATTTTACTTAAGCCGTTTATCCTTGTAACAAACTTAGATCTTAGTTCGTTGTTTCCGATCATTTCATATATTGCTATTTACATTTTGGTCTACGGTTCTTGTTCTGATGTAGGTGCTGTTTGGAATTCTACTTCTCGTTTATATTCCCAATTTGGATCCTTATCCGGGTTACATTGCTCTTCAATCCGAGCCTCTTGATAATGTCGAATATGAAGCACTACCTGGAGAAGAACAAATTTGCCCTGAAAGACATGTTAATATATTTTCCAGTAAGTAGTTCTTGAACATCGCATAATTAATTCACAGTTTTATAATTTTGGTTTAGGGTCTTTTTAAGTTTCTTTTGTTTACGTTTTGGTGATATGATATCTTATGTGTTCTACCGCTGCTTACTATTTTCTTGTGCATCTCCGTAGGAATATATTTCGGATGGATGACTCCACTCATGCAGCTTGGGTATCGAAAACCCATCACCGAATCAGATGTTTGGAAGTTGGATACGTGGGATCAGACTGAGACACTAATTAAAAAGTTCACTTCATGTTGCCTCCTTTTCAGTTGCTTCAACATAATTTCATGTGTCCAGCGCAGAACATGTATAACAGTTTTGAGTTTGCAGGTTCCAGACATGTTGGGATAAAGAATGTCAAAGGCCTAAGCCATGGCTTCTAAGAGCATTGAACTGTAGCCTTGGGGGAAGGTAAAGTTCAAACTACCATTTTCGTAATTCGTTAATTAACTTTTTGAATATGTTATCAGTTCTAGCAATAGATTAGTTTAGACAAAACACCCTATTTCCTAACATCTAATTTCATTTCTATCTTATTTGATTCGATTTTTGTCGAATATTCTGTGTAGGTTCTGGTGGGGAGGCTTATTCAAGGTAATGAACATATAGCCAGTTTATAAAGTCTGAAAGGAAAAATATTTTCAGAAAGTATTTGTTGAGTAAAATTCGCAAGCATCGCTTTATCTGCCTTTAAAGTTTTATTGCCTTAACATCTTGTAGATTGGAAATGATCTTTCTCAGTTTGCGGGTCCGGTTCTACTAAGTCATCTCTTGCAGGTCAGCCTCTCGCCAAAGCATCATTAGTATTCGTTTCTACCATATTACAGATTGTTGTATCAAAAGTGGTTCAAGGAATTCATGTTCGAGTCTATGAAGTTTCAATGCTTTTAACTATGCTTAAAAAATTTGTAAGTTATTGCTAGCTTGTCTTTCGACATGAGAGTTCATAATTGTCTCGCTATGATGTGCAGTCAATGCAACAAGGCGATCCGACTTGGATTGGTTACATTTATGCTTTCTCAATTTTCGCTGGTGTGGTATGGTTTTTATCTTTTTACTTTCTCCAGCAACATCATGTTTTCAACTTTTTCTGGCAAGCAACAGCTAATTGACTTGCGTCAACTTTAAGAAAAATGGATGATTAATTGAAACCAAGAACTGAGAAGTTAAATGTGCAGCATATTTTGAAGAGGTTGTGACGTATCTTGACAAGTTTATTCATCTTTTTCCAGTCACTTGGTGTGCTCTGTGAAGCTCAGTATTTCCAGAATGTTATGCGGGTCGGTTTTAGGCTAAGATCAACTTTGGTAATGTTCTTTATAAATATAAAACTAATTCGTTGGTACATTTTAATTTATTTTTATTATTCTCTTTCTGTCTGCAATGAATTTTCGGTCAGCTCAAGTTCCCAACTCCGTTTCATGCTGTGTGATTCATGAAAAGTAGGTTGCTTATGTTTTCCCTTCTTGTAGGTTGCTGCTGTATTCCGTAAATCTATAAGAATAACACATGAAGGCCGTAAGAAGTTTCCATCTGGGAAGATAACAAATATGATGTCAACAGATGCTAATGCACTCCAGGTATGCTCTAGATGTAGATTGGGTACGAGACAGTTTTTCTGATGTCTTGTTTTCTATTAAATGGAAATTCCATTTCTGATTTTTTGAAACGCTTTATTTCAAGTCATTTTATTGAATTGTGGATTTATAACTGATATGGGCTTTCTCCTGATTTAGCAAATATGTCAACAACTTCATGGATTGTGGTCAGCTCCTTTTCGTATCACTGTAGCTATGGTTCTTCTTTACCAGCAACTAGGTGTGGCATCACTCATTGGATCAGGAATGCTGGTTCTCATGATCCCCATACAGGTACGTACTCAGTTCTTTTTTAACCAAAAGTCTGTTTAGATTACCACTTTGCTACAGAAGTTAAGCTCAGGCTTCCATAACGTTACATGTTTTAGTGTAATGACTCATTTGTTTTAAACTCCTTTGTGAAAAGACATTTGTGATCAGCAAAATGCGAAAACTGACAAAGGATGGACTACAGCAAACTGACAAGAGAGTTGGCCTCATGAATGAAATTTTGGCAGCCATGGATACAGTGAAGTATGGTTGAATTTGGTTACAGCTTCCCTTTACATTTCTAGATGGCAAGCCATTGAAGGTAATCCTTCTCACATTCGTCTGAAATAAAATGTTTCAGATGTTACGCCTGGGAGACAAGTTTCCAACACCGAGTTCAAAGTATAAGGAATGATGAGTTGTCAAGGTTCCGTAAAGCGCAATTACTATCTTCTGTAAGGCACAGCACATCGTCCTGAAAATTTTATTTCCCTAAACACCTAAAGCACAATTGAGTCAATAGATTTGGTGGATAACACATTTTCTGAGGACTATCTCATTCGTGACCATAGAGTTTCTCTGACCAGCTGCCACCATTTTTGCAGTTTAACAGTTTTATACTGAACAGCATCCCAGTTGTTGTGACATTAACATCGTTTGGGGTGTTCACTGCTCTTGGTGGCGAATTGACACCTGCAAGGGCATTTACGTCCCTTTCTCTTTTCGCAGTGCTACGGTTTCCTCTAAACATGCTGCCTAGCTTACTAAGTCAGGTACCATTAGTTTCTTATCTGTTCACTTATCTGACTTCTTGCATTTGGCTTAACATCTAAACCTGTATGATCTCCTTTTCAACCTGTAATATATGTTTTGTTTGTGCTTAATGGAATGTTAGTATGTTAACTAGTTTCTCCTCATCCTTGTGAGTTTGTAACTCTGCTCTAATTTAACAGGTTGTGAATGCAAATGTATCGTTACAACGTTTGGAGGAACTATTTTTAACTGAGGAGAGAATTCTAGTACCGAACTTGCCTCTTGAACCAGGGCTGCCGGCCATCTCAATTAAGGATGGGTACTTTTCATGGGATTCAAAGGTCAGCGCTTGATGATTATGTATATATAGTGCATTCTTAGTTACGTTGAAATGTTGCATGAGAAAATGTGTAAATCCCAGGAATTTTTGTTCGTACTTGATACTTGATACTGAGTATCAAGCATGCCTCTTATCTTCTTCTCTTTTCTTTTTCTTTTTTTTCAGGCAGAGAATCCCACATTATCGAACATCAACTTAGATATACCAGTTGGCAGCTTAGTAGCAGTTGTTGGTGGAACTGGAGAAGGGAAGACATCGCTGGTATCAGCCATGCTTGGTGAGCTGCCTCCCAGAACAGATGCCAGTGTTGTAATCAGGGGGACTGTAGCTTATGTTCCCCAAGTTTCATGGATTTTCAACGCTACTGTGAGTCACAGCTTCTCTTATTTGAGTACCTCCAATGTTTAATCTTGTAACCCCTATGTGCACTTCTGAGCTTACAAAATTTATTTCTCTAGGTACGTGATAATATATTATTTGGATCTAAATTCGAATCTGCACGATATTGGAAGGCCATTGATTTGACCGAGTTACAGCATGATCTAGACTTACTTCCAGTAAGTCGATTGTGTGAATTTTTAGGCTTGCAAGTACTGCTCTAGCATGTAAAGGTTTTGATTAGTTAACTACTACACTTAAATGTTCTAGGGTCGAGATCTAACAGAGATAGGTGAAAGAGGGGTGAATATTAGCGGCGGTCAAAAGCAAAGAGTTTCAATGGCTAGAGCTGTATATTCTGATTCAGATGTTTACGTATTTGACGACCCGTTAAGTGCTCTAGATGCTCATGTGGCGAGAGAGGTTTTCAACCGCTGTATCAAGGAAGAGTTGCAAGGGAAAACTCGGGTGCTGGTCACAAATCAGCTACATTTTCTTCCTCAAGTGGATCATATTATTTTAGTCTCTGAAGGTATGATTAAAGGCGAGGGAACATTTAAGGAGCTCTCTGAAAGCAGTACGCTGTTCCAGAAGCTAATGGAAAATGCAGGGAAAATGGAAGCACATGTCGAAGAAAAGGAAGAGAGTGAAAATGATGACCATGAGAGCTCAACACCTACTTCCAATGGGGTGTCGAATGAGTTGCCAAAAGATGCAAGCAACCCAAAGAAAGGGAAAGGGGCGAAATCAGTACTCATTAAACAAGAGGAAAGGGAAACAGGCATTGTCAGTTGGAAAATTCTAATGAGGTAATACCAGTCGTGAATGCTTTTAGTCTTTTTTGACAATATTTATTGCCAGCGGCAAGTTCTTAATCTGATCATCACGCATTGATGAATGAATTGAGTCTATTTGTTCTTGTTGCAGGTACAAAAATGCATTAGGAGGGCTATGGGTGGTCATGGTTCTATTTGCGTGTTATACATTAACAGAAGTTCTTCGAGTTTCGAGCAGCACATGGTTAAGTGTTTGGACATCAAAAAGCACATCAAAGAGTTATAAACCTGGATTCTTCATTCTTGTGTATGGTCTTCTGTCATTTGGTCAGGTGAGCCGACGCGTAACTGGGAGCAGATTCTCACTTTTGCATGTTAGCTACATCATTTTATTCAGTTTTTCCATAAATACTTAAATCTGAATTTGCTTGATTCAGGTAACAGTGACACTGACGAACTCTTTTTGGTTAATCACGTCAAGCCTTCATGCAGCCAGAAGACTGCACGATGCTCTGCTTAATGCTATAATGAGAGCTCCAATGGTATTCTTCCACACTAATCCAACAGGACGGATAATCAATAGGTTTGCGAAAGATCTGGGTGACATAGATCGCGGCGTAGCAATGGTTGTGAACATGTTTATGGGTCAAGTGTGGCAGCTCTTTTCAACTTTTGTGCTCATAGGCATTGTGAGCACAATATCCCTCTGGGCCATAATGCCACTTCTGATTTTGTTCTATGCAGCCTATCTTTTTTATCAGGTAAGTTTGACATAGTATCGATCTTTATTATTAGTTCTTCCGCTTCTTTAGTATCGTCATTCGGCATAAAATCTTAATACTTATCTATGCGTTTTACAGAGCACATCCCGTGAAGTGAAACGTTTGGATTCCATTAGCAGATCTCCTGTTTATGCACAATTTGGAGAGGCATTGAATGGTTTGTCAACCATTCGTGCCTACAAAGCGTATGATCGGATGGCCAACATTAGCGGAAGGTCCATGGACAAGAACATCAGATTCACCCTTGTGAATATCAGTTCAAATCGCTGGCTTACGATTAGGTTGGAAACACTCGGAGGTCTGATGATTTGGTTGATAGCAAGCTTTGCTGTCATGCAAAACGGAAGAGCAGAAGACAAATTAGCATTTGCATCTACAATGGGTCTACTTCTCACTTATACTTTAAATATCACAAATTTGTTGAGCGGTGTTCTTAGGACAGCCAGCCGGGCTGAAAATAGTTTAAATGCCGTTGAGCGTGTTGGATCCTATATAGAACTGCCTTCTGAGGCACCGGCTGTAATTGAAAGCAACCGTCCCCAACCTGGGTGGCCATCGTCAGGATCAATCGAGTTTGAAGATGTCGTCCTGCGTTATAGGCCTGGACTTCCTCCGGTATTGCACGGATTATCTTTTACAGTTTCTGCGAGTGAAAAGCTAGGAATAGTCGGAAGAACTGGTGCAGGGAAATCTAGCATGATTAATGCATTGTTTAGGATAGTAGAAATCGAAAAGGGAAGAATCTTGATAGATAGTTGTGATGTTTCCAAGTTTGGACTGACGGATTTGCGAAAAGTTCTTAGTATCATACCCCAGTCACCGGTTCTTTTTTCAGGTATGCACTTATCCAACCTATATGTACTTTGATTGAGCTGACATGTTCAACCTATATACATAAAATGCAGCATTCTAATTGATTTCCATCATCTCGTCTAGGAACTGTGCGGTTTAACCTTGATCCCTTCAGCGAGCATAGCGACGCTGACCTTTGGGAAGCTCTAGAGAGGGCACATCTAAAGGATGTCATTAGGCGGAATTCTCTCGGTCTGGATGCTGAGGTATAAGTACATCTGTTAAGTTGAAGCTGCTTAAGTGAGCATTGAAAAGTGACAATTTATTAGTAAGTTTTAACCTATCTTATCGCATCAAGGTTTCAGAAGGAGGCGAAAACTTTAGCGTTGGGCAGAGGCAACTATTAAGTCTTGCTAGAGCATTGCTGCGAAGATCAAAGATTCTTGTTCTTGATGAAGCAACTGCTGCTGTCGACGTTGGGACTGATGCTCTTATCCAGAAAACCATTCGCGAAGAGTTCAAATCATGCACCATGCTCGTTATTGCTCACAGATTAAATACCATAATTGACTGTGATCGAATTCTGGTTCTGGATACCGGTCAGGTATATACCCTCACTCTAATGCAAGCAGGAATCCTTGTATGAGCCCGTCACATATAACCTCCCTCTCAGGATATGCATTTAGGTTCCGCTATGTAACAACGGTTCCCACGTGCATTTTGTGAGAGGACAATTGTATAGGGCTCATACAATAATATTTTACCAATTTTCCGAGTACCTAAACTCATAACTTTCGTCCTCTCCATTTAGGTCCTGGAACATGACTCCCCAGACAAACTCCTATCAAACGAAGAGAGTGCCTTCTCCAAGATGGTCAAGAGCACGGGACCTGCAAATGCTGAGTACTTGCGCGGCCTGGTATTTGGAGGTAAACAGCATAAGTTCGTTAGAGACCGAACGAAGCAGCTGGCTGGTCAGAGCCAGAGGGGATGGTTAGCCTCTTCGCGCTGGGCCGCTGCTGCCCAGTTAGCCTTAGCTGTTAGTCTCACTTCTTCGCAAAACGACCTTCGAGGAATGGACATTGAAGACAAAAACAATATCATCATGAAAACAAATGATGCAGTAATAACACTTCAGGGAGTTTTGGAAGGGAAGCATGACAAAGAGATAGACGACACACTGAATCAACACCATATACCAAGGGAAGGATGGTGGTCGGCTTTCTTCAGAGTAGTAGAAGGTAAAATCCTGAACTCATGTACCTATACATTGTAATACATAGAAGTACAAAACTGTGTATTTTGATACTGAAAATGGTTCAACGAGATAGAGATCATAAAATCGCAATCACACAAAAAACACAAACGATATAGCGTGGACTGAACAATAGGAGATAGTTGCGTCAAGAGGGGCGCATTCTAGTGTCTTAAATTTAGATGTGCTTTTTTTTTGTTTCGGGAAATGATTTTCGCACAAGCATTTTGTCCCAAAGGGATGTGCGGAAATCAACTTCCTTTCGATTTTTCGTCATCAAATATTGGCTTTTTGTTTCAGGTATGGCTGTGATGGGCAGGCTGGCTCACAACAGACTTCAGCCGTTAGAAGACGACTTTGAAAACAAAGAAATAGATTGGATTTGAACAGAGAGCAAGAAATGTTTCATATTTGTATAGGCCAAGGATTTTCAGATGTCCAAATTGCAACAAGCAGAAAGGAGTTATCATCTCTGCTTATAACTACAATCCATAAGTTGTCATGAACAACAGTAAATCTATATTTTCGAAGGAAAAATGTTTCAGTTCTTTCTGCAAGTATGCGTACTGCTTAGTATTACTTTGACATTCTTTTACTAATTTTAGATTCAAATGATTCCGAAGACAGTAATCAAAGTTGCAAACTTCATTCCGATGTGATTTATAAACGTTCCCCCATCCCCTTCTCTAGTTTCTTGGGACAGAAATGGTTACTAGGGCAATACAGCACTAACTGCATCTTAAAAAAGCAATTAAGATCAGCCAATCTAACAAAATCCTCAGGATTGTTATGATTAACATCTTCAACTACGTTGATAACCAGCTAGCCCCCCCAGTATAAATCTATGAAGTTGAGGGCAGTGCAATTTCAGAAGTCGAATCAAAACCATCAGCTGGTTTAATGTGCCCACAACCAGACTCAATGGCTTCCACATAGACTTGAAGACGTCATTAACGCTTGGAATACATTAGGAAGGCTGGTTTTCAGGTTTTCCAACGTCATGGCCTTACTAACCTGGGCCGAGTTCAGATATTTAGCCTTCTCGCTGTCCACTCACGCTTAAGCGACAATGGATGCTTAGGGCATAAACAGGAGTACTTGCCTTCGGCAGTGCTCCTTTTCTCCATCCCAACTAATGAATCCAACTCCCTTTGCAGCCTTTTGTCAAGTTTCTCGTATTTTTTTCTGCAGATTGTGCTCCTCTTCTTGCAGCATGAGAATGGAGAGGGTATTTGATGAGATTTGTGACTTCTATTTCTTATCCAGATGTTAAGGAAGGAGGTGCAGTACGATTATTGCCTTGAATGCATGCTTGGTGACATTGAGGTTCTGATGCGAAGTATGAGGTCTGTGACTTTTGCCTTCGTGCCTAGAGAGAGCAAAAGTGCGGCTCACTCGGTGACTAAGTTTGTGTTTAAGAGATAAAGTCTTTTGTATAGGATTGTATTAGTTCAGAATTTTTGTTTAATATTGGCACAAGATATTAATCTTTCTATTCGATTATAATAAATTTACCTTTTCTATTCGATTATAATAAATTTACCCTTTGGAAAAGAAAAAAAACAAAGATGTTAGGTGGCCTTGTTCTTAAAAGCTCTCAACTACAATTTTTCCAGCTTGCGTGCAGTGTGTGTGGTAATGTCATTCTTTTATTATTCTTTCTATTTCCTTTTTAAAAAGCACTTTGCTGACCAATAACTTGTCCTAAGGGTGATGCGTCACCCAGTCGTGCTGTATCTTCTTTCTGCTGTTCGCTTTTTCTCTACTTTTTTCCTCTCTCAAGTATTTTAGTCGTGTAATTAAACAAAAAAAAAAAGTTGTAGTAACTTCTATTTCTTAGGTACTAAGAAAGCATGATATGTGGTGTTTCTAGGCTTTGACGATGGAGGGGTCTAATATTTTAGTGGATAGGGTGTTGAATTTCTACCTATACGTCCTGATTTCTCAGTTCAAAACTCTAGTCTCTGATATTATTGTAATAGTTTTGAATCATCATCTCTCTCCTTAATAGTAATAGTAGTAGTAGTTATAATAATAATAATAAATAAAATGTATTTACCATTACTAGGGTTTGCTGCAAAATATTGAAAAATAATAATACCATGAATTGAATTGAAAATAATACTAGGGTTTTCTAAAGTTCCAAAGTTTATTTTTTGAATGACTTTTTAAGTTTTGAATTCATCTCTCTTTTTATAATGTGGTGTTCTAATATGATTATAGTATTCAAAATTCAAGTATGGAATAGTATTAATATGAATTGAATTAAGACTTCACATTTACGAGTGAAAAGAAGTATCAACGAACTGCATTATAGAATTCATCTCTGAACTCGCAGCAGAGTTTAGATTTTGTCCTTGAACTAATTTTTCGTTATTTTATGTTCCTTATTTTACCAAAACGTGCAACATTTGTCCTTTCATGGACCAATTCTATATTTTACTCTTTTCTAGTAAGCAATGAAAACTTGAAAATTGTAATAAAAATTAGAAGTTGGAAGTTTGATCCACCACATTGACCATTTGGATATCAAAAGGGGCGAAAGGTTTATGTTCGTGTTTGATATCTGTGTTTTTCTTCTTATTTGGGCTTCTTTAAAAAAAGGAAGATTGTAACTTAAATTTAATAAATTGAATCCAACCCACGAAGAAAAAGCCCTATTGGGTCTGTCTGAGGGAGATTGGGCTGGGGCCTCACTCCTGACTAGTAAAGAAGGAAAACTGAGCCTTGAAAACAAGGCAACACTTGTCCCACATCGGTCAGTCATGCTCTTCTTCAACGCTTTATATACGTTTTCTCCATAACACTGTTTGTCCCTTCGGGGACATCCGATAAAATTGGAACGATACAGAGAAGATTAGCATGGCCCCTGCGCAAGGATGACACGCATAAATCGAGAAATGGTCCAAATTTTTTTTGCCATTTTTCCGTTGTCTTCCCGCTGTATCAAGCTACTTGCCGGAATCCAAAGGGTAAAATACATAGCTGAATGAGGTTTTGGGTTTTAAGCTACAGGGAAGTATTTTTTATCTCCAGTAATTCATTGTCTTTTGATTCTGTACAACATATAATAGTAGTGAAGCGGTTTGCAAGCACCTGAGAAGGAGGATGTATCCTCCTGTGGTCCGCAGAGGTGACTCTTAACGGTAGCATACGATATTGTAGCATCAGGTGTCCTTAATTTAACAACACGTGCATTTCTTTTTTCATATGAAGTTGAATCATTGACACGATTACTCTGTATTTGTGTCACACTTCATGTCCAATTATAATAATTAGATATTAAATTCGTCAATTTGAACACTTCATGTCCAATCATAATAATTAGGTATCAAATTCGTCAATTTGAACTTGAATGTTTGACTCTCACTCTCTCTCGACAATAAAAATGTTTCAAAAAATTGAATGTTTGAGTCCGCGTGACTTGTTTTTTATTGTTTTGCAAAGTATTTAAGTACAAAGCAAGCAACACAAATTATGATACACCGTAAATACTCATGTTATCCCTCCCACGATCTGCAAACTTGCAGTATACAAGATTATGTGGGTTTCCACATTTTGCATTGAACTTTGGACAAAACTTCACGCCTACTAATGCTAAGGAGACTCTCTTAAAAATGGGACTATTTGTCACTTCATATTTTTTTCACGATGTTCTATAAATCGGCACAGGAGTTGAAGTTAAACTATATGTACTTTGATTGAGCTGACATGTTCAACCTATATACATAAAATGCAGCATTCTAATTGATTTCCATCATCTCTCGTCCAGGAACCGTGCGGTTTAACCTTGATCCCTTCAGCGAGCATAGCGACGCTGACCTTTGGGAAGCTCTAGAGGGCACATCTAAGGGATGTCATCATCTCTCGGTCTGGATGCTGAGGTATAAGTACATCTGTTAAGTTGAAGCTGCTTAAGTGAGCATTGAAAACTGACAATTTACTAGTAAGTTTTAACCTGTCTTTCTTGCATCAAGGTTTCCGAAGGAGGCGAAAACTTTAGGGTTTAGGCAACTAATAAGTCTTGCTAGAGCATTGCTGCGAAGATCAAAGATTCTTGTTCTTGATGAAGCAACTGCTGCTGTCGACGTTGGGACTGATGCTCTTATCCAGAAAACCATTCGCGAAGAGTTCAAATCGTGCACCATGCTCGTTATTGCTCACAGATTAAATACCATAACTGACTGTGATCGAATTCTGGTTCTGGATGCCGGTCAGGTATGTGCCCTCACTTTAATGCAAGCAGGAATCCTTGTATGAGCCCGTCATATATAACCTCCCTCTCAGGATATGCATTTAAGTTCCGCTATGTAACAACGGTTCCACGTGCATTTTGTGAGAGGAAGATTGTATCGGGCTCATACAATAATATTTTACCAATTTTCCGAGTACTTAAAACTCATAACTTTCGTCCTCTCCATTTAGGTCCTGGAACATGACTCCCCAGACAAACTCCTATCAAACGAAGAGAGTGCCTTCTCCAAGATGGTCAAGAGAACGGGACCTGCGAATGCTGAGTACTTGCGCGGCCTGGTATTCGGAGGTAAACAGAATAAGGTGGTTAGTGTTGTGATTGGCTCATATAATTATGAGTTGACAACAATTTCATCTCAACCATGTGGAGTGCTAGCTACTTTCGGCTAAAGAAAAGGACAAAGGAAAAGGGAGACATCTACTTTTGGCTAAAGAAAGGGACAAAGAAAAAGGAAGACATCATCATGTCTAGCCCTTGATTTGTGGCCTTTTCAAAGGTGGTTTTCTTTTGTTGTTATAAGTGGAAGGATTTGCCGAAGGATGAAAAGGCTTGCCGAGTGAGAGGGTAAGCACCAGAGAGCATCCAAGGGGGAGAGCATTCGGCTCTCCCATGGGAAAGCATGGGCATGGGTGAGAGAAAATCAAGAGAGCTAGAGTGAAAAGTATTCTAGTGAAAGAACTCTTGGGGTAGAGTGAGGCTCTTGGGAAAATTCTATGAGTGGGTGTACAAGGGATTTGAGATTAGGTATGTCGATTTAACTCATGTGTACTTGTACTGTTATTTTCATAGTGAAGAGCAATATCTCTCCGGAGACGTAGGCAGGATTTTTGCCGAACCTCGTAAATTTCTCGGTGTCTTTATTTCTTGTATTTTATTCTGTTCAACTGAGTGTGATTTGGTGAGGTTGTAATCTGAATCTCATTTCCGCACTGATAAACGGGCCAAGGCACAACAGTTAGAAACCGAACGGAGCTGCTGGCTGGTCAGAGCCAGAGGGGATGGTTAGCCTCTTCGCGCTGGGCCGCTGCTGCCCAGTTAGCCTTAGCTGTTAGTCTCAATTCTTTGTAAAACGACCTTCGAGGGATGGACATTGAAGACAAAAACAATATCCTCATGAAAACAAATGATGCAGTAATAACACTGCAGGGAGTTTTGGAAGGGAAGCATGACACAGAGATTGACGACACACTGAATCAACACCATATACCAAGGGAAGGATGGTGGTCAGCTTTCTTCAGAGTAGTAGAAGGTAAAATCTTGAACTCATTCATAATATACACACATATGTACATGTATACATTGTAATACATAGAAGTACAAAACCATGTATGTTGATGCCGCAAAATGGTTTGACGAACACAAATGATATAGCGGAGATATTTGCGTCAAGAGGGGAGCATTCCACAATCACCACCAAGCCTTATCCCACTAGGTGGGGTCGGCCGTATGAATTCTAGAACGTGACTGCACTCGGTTTTGCCCCGAGTCTTCCATTAGCTTAAAGTACTTCATATCTTTTCTTGAAAGAGACTAAGAAACATATGGAGTACTCGAGCTAATGAAATACTTGGCATAAAATCGAGCGCAGTGGCATTCTAGAGTGCATACAACCGACTCCACTTAGTGTGATAAGGCTTGGTGGTGGTGGTTGTAGAGTGCTCCCCTCTTGATGTCTAAAAATTCTAGTGTCTAAGTTCAAGTGTGCTTTTCTTGTTTGGGAAATGGTTTTCTCACAAGCAACTTTTCCCCTTGCACATTCATGTTCATTTCTAGCCTTTGAATTGAACAAATCAAGAAACACAAATGATCAATCTGCATAAGAAGAAAAGGAGTGTACGGAAATCAACTTCCTTTCGATTTTTCGTTATCAAATCTTTGGCTTTTTGTTTCAGGTATGGCTGCGATGGGCAGGCTGGCTCACAACAGACCTCACCCGTTAGAAGATGATTTCGAAGACAAAGCCATAGATTGGAGTTGAATACAGAGCAAAAAATGTTTCATATTTGTATGGGCCAAGGATTTTTAGATGTCCAAATTGCAACAAGCAGAAAAGAGTTATCATCTCTGCTTGTAGCTACAATTCCTAAATTGTTATAACATCCTTAAATCTATATCTTCGAAAGAAAAAAAATTCACTTCTTTTTGCAAGTATGAGTACTTCTTAGTATTATTTTGACATTCTTTTGCTAATTTTCGATTCAAATGATTCCGAAGAAAAAGTAATCAAAGCTGTAACTACATTCCGATGCGATTTACAAACGTCCCCTCGCCCCCCTCTTCAGTTTCTTGGGACAGAAATGGTTGATAGGGCAATACAGCACTAACTGCATCTTAAAAAAGCAATTAAGATCAGCCAATCTAACAAAATCCTCAGGATTGTAATGAATAACATCTTCAACTACGTCGATAACCTGCTAGGCCCTCAGTATAAATCTATGAAGTTGAGGGAAGTGCAATTTCAGAAGTGGAATCAAAACCATCAGCTGGTTTAATGTGCCCACAAACAGACTCAATGGCTTCCACATAGAGATTTGAAGACGTCATTAACGCTTGGAATACATTAGGAAGGCGGGTTTTCAGGTTTTCCAACGTCATGGCCCTACTAACCTGGACCGAGTTAAGATATTTAGCCCTCTCGCTGTCCACTTGCTTCTTTAAGGCTTCGATTTTAGCACGCTTAAGTGACAACGGATGCTTAGGGCCTAAACTGGAGTACAAATCTTCGGCAGTGCTCCTTTCCTCCATCTCAACTAATGAATCTGACTCCTTTTGCAGCCTTTTGTCAAGTTTCTCGTATTTTTTCTGCAGATTGTGCTCCTCTTCTTGCTGCATGAGAATCGAGTGGATGGCTAATAGAAGGCTCTTGATGGCCTCCGCTGCCTCCTGCAAGCACGAAAAAGCATAAAAAGTTAAAGCTCCCCACATAAAACAGCACATGAGGTAATTTATAGTTTCAGAGGTATAAGTACAACACCAAGCACAAACTAGGTTAAGCAATAGAATGGTTCGTAATGGTAATCAGTTATCCTTAACTTCAAAATGCTTACGAGGATACCTCAGCATCTAATTCCCATATCTTAGTAGATCTTGATCGCCTAATACCTCAGCATCTAATACTCTATCGAACACCCTCTCCATTCTCATCATATCAACAAGAAATGCACGTAAATTTGTTTTTCTGTCAAAAGCCAACCACATGTTTTGCCTCAGCACAGCAAACGTCCAACTTCTTGTATTTTGTTATACAAGTGAGAAAGACTGAAAAACATAGACCGGGTCGTCCTTTCCACTACCATGTGCAATTTACCTTCCTCCGACCAAACGAGTAATGGGAACATATCTAATGGTGCACTCCGCTTTTAGCAACAACATTTATATAGTAGCTCGTAGATAAGATCATCAAGAATTTTCTTTTTAGGAACGTTAGATTTTCTGGAAAATCAGTGATAGCCAACAAAAGGTTATAACAGAAGTACCTTATCTTGTAATCTTTCAAAGGCAAGATTCCATTGTTCACATATGCGGTGAACAGAAGATGAGTACAGACTCTTTCGATCATCGCTGACAAGACTGTCAGTAAGTTGGATCCACCCGGAAAGTGTTCTAACATACTCTTTTTGAGATTTTATGACTTTGCCAAAGCTGTTGTACCAACAAGAGACCTCGGTTTCTAGTTGAACTGCAGCTTGGCGATGATGGTTGCTACTCAAGTCTAGCTTTTCAATATCAGTAAGAATATTCAACTGCTGGGAAAAATAATGCTGAGCTCGGTGACATTCATACATCGTTCTCCACAAGTGCAAAAGCCTGCAAGAGGGCCATACAAAGAAGACATCTCAGGATACAAATAAGCAGGGAAGTGTTTCAACACATTCCATTAAAAGGTGCAGAAGGGCAGTTGACAATTCCATCTTCAGGGTAAGGCAACTTTAATTCTGAAGACAAAACAAATACGATTAAATCAAGCTTTTCTTCGGTAAAAGGGTGCTTAGGGATAAAACAACTTCTTGTTCCATGTATTCGCTACTTGGTTGGTATCAACTAGAAAGACTACTAAACACCCTGCTGTATGCAAGAGAAAAGTGTGAAGGAAAGAGTACTAATGACATTTATAGAACCATGAGGAGGATATGATATCATCACGGTCTGATAACTAAGGTGACAGATGAATGAGAACAGAAAAAAATGATAATTTGAGTCATCGTGACGAACAATTTTCCCTGAGTGATCAAGAGTACTTTATACATTCTACTGTCCTACATAATTTAAAGCTAATAGAATAGCATCCATATTATTTTTCTAGACTTTCATAATCTCAACAATACCCGGAAGTTAGCGTGACCAACTGAGGATACAGCTCATTATCTATGAGCTTCACTATAGAAGAACAAGTAGTGCTGATTGAATCATGAAGACGTAAGATTTCGGACTCCAAACTCTCAACGCTTAACCGAATTTTCTCAGTCTTGGTCCAGTCATTGTTTTCCATCCTCTTGTTTTTTCAGTAATTTGGATTTCCTATCGTGCTCAAATTTGGTATACTCTTCCTCCTGCACAATAAAAATGATTAAATTCTCTAGAAACAAGGCTAGCTGGAAAAGGAGGATTAGGAGGAGGGGAACGAGGCTAGTTTGTGATATTTAAATACACATTCCGATTATCTTCACTGGATACCCTAGTCAATTACTATTCTTACCTTAACTTCTTTGTAAAGTTTCTTTTCGTGATCATATAATTTTTTCAGTGTGATGCAATGAGCTCCTGGCCTGCATGGTTCATTTGGACCACTAGACTCAACCGCATCTTTAGGAAATTGAAGTGACCTAGAAGACCAGCTCCATGGGAATGCACTAAAGACCTTTGTGGAATTGGACGTCTTCCCTGTAAACCGCACAGCAAGGAAAATATGTGGAAGAGCTTAATAAGTGAAATAGCCAGTAAACACAAGTACACAGACATAGAGACTGCATTAAGCTGCACGATAACACAGTGTAAAGAACTAATACACGTGAAATTTTGACTTTAATGTGATATGTATTTTCAAGTCGGAAGTCTAAAAATTAATTTTACAAACTTCTCTACCATGCTACATTTACTTTTCTCCAACTTTGTTATAAAGTTTGTGTTTCTGTCAAAAGAAAAAATTATCAAGAAATAAAAAGAGACAACGTATAAGAGAAACCAAATCCAAAAATCGACAACATCTTACTTTTGGCTTTCGCTACTACTGAGTGGCAGAAAAGTGTCCCTTCCTTTGATGTCCATAAGAACAGCAATTTCCTTTAAACCATCTGATGATTTCAGAAAATAATCATCTAACTCCTTAGCTATACCCTCCAAGGTCTTCTTGCTTCTCCATAGTCCCATGGGCACATCTGCAGTGTCCTTAGTATGCCGCTTTTTCACTGATACATCCTCCACGATGGCTTCTGCAAGCTGCAGATTCTTAGGCGGCGAATTCACAACATTAGCAACAGTTTCCTCTTCCAGTTCGTCTTCCTCAAATTCCATCTTAGTCTCTTCCCATTCTTCCTCTAGCAATTCCACCGTTTCATCATGTTTATGATGCTCTGGTGAGGAAGAGCTCAGGTTTGGAGGAGGTGGTGGAGTGCTGCTATCATCCTCAGTACGTTCTATGTATTCCTCTTGACCAACTTCTTCTCTGTGACTATCATCCAACTTTCTCGAATCAGGGCTGAAAGGTGGTGGCGGCGGGGGAGGCAAAGAGGGAGGTGGTGAAGCTGGCGACTCCAAGCCGTATGGAGCAGTATTATCAAGCTCCAACGTCTCCGACTCGGTAAATTGTCTGAGTGTTGATCCAGTGTTCCTCAATGATCTTAAATAAGCCAATTGTGCCTCAGCAAATTCACCTCTAAACCTTACCAACTGTTTCATTAGCTTCTTTCTCTCCTTGCAAACCCTCACCCTCTCTTCCTTATCAATCCTAGATGCAACACAACCCATCTTTCCAGATTAACAAATTCTACCAAAAACAACACAATCTCTTCTTCCTAGTTTCTGAAATTACAAAACCAAAACTTCCACATCCAATTTTTAACTACTTTGAGAACTCATCATATCAAGAAACTACAGTAGAAGAACTTCCACATCCAATTTTCACAATTTCCACTACATGCATTCCTTTTAATCTGGTCACTGAAAATAAGTAATAAATAATATAAAAACCCAACAAATTCAAAATCTTCATAAATCAGAAGGCTCCAGGAATCAGAGGTTGTAGAAGTAACAAGAAAAAGAGAAAAGGTAAAGTGGGTACCTTTCTTCTCAGTGAATTTTCAAGCATACACAGATAAGGTTGGCATCTGTCACCAGTGAATCAAAGGTCTCATCCTCCAAATCATGAATCTGCTATCTTTGCACTGCATGCATCCACACTTCCAGAGCTTCAAGTCCCCAAAGAAAACAAAAATATCAGTAAAAAAAAGTTACCCACTTCCCAAAATCTCCATATCCCCCATAATCAAACAGAACAGGAATTAAAAAATAAATGGGTTTCTGAAATTACAAAACCAAAACTTCCACATCCAATTTTCAACTACTTTGAGAACTCATCATATCAAGAAACTACAGTAGAAGAACTTCCACATCCAATTTTCACAATTTCCACTACATGCATTCCTTTTAATCTGGTCACTGTAAATAGTAATAAATATATAAAAACCCAACAAATTCAAAATCTTCATAAACCAGAAGGCTTCAGGAATCAGAGGTTGTAGAAGTAACAAGAAAAAGAGAAAAAGTAAAGTGGGTACCTTTCTTCTCAGTGAATTTTCAAGCATACACAGATAAGGTTGGCATCTTTCACCAGTGAATCAAAGGTCTCATCCTCCAAATCATGAATCTGCTATCTTTGCACTACATGCATCCATACTTCCAGAGCTTCAAGTCCCCAAAGAAAACAAAAATATCAGTAAAAAAAAAAAGTTACCTACTTCCCAAAATCTCCATATCCCCCATAATCAAACAGAACTGGAATTAAAAAAATAAAAATAAATGGGTTTTAGGAGCAGCTTTTCAGAGAAGTGTTTTTCCTGCCAAGCAGTTCCAGAAGATGTGTTTGAAAAATGCTACCTTAATGGAAAGCAAAAAAAACAAGATAAACAATTCTCCCTGACATGGAAACTGTT